CCCCGCCCCGGCCCCCCTCCCCTCGGCGGGATTCCCTCGCCGCCGGTCCCGCGCAGGGGGGAGGCTCGGCGCGGAGGGGCGGGCAGGGCCCCGCGGAGGGGCGGCCGGCCCCCGGGGCTGCGCAGGGGGGCCCGGGCGAGCGGTTCCCCTCGCAGAGGGCGGCCCGGCCCGGCCTCGCTGACCGCCCTGCTCACCCGCGGGCGCGGCATCAGGGAGCTGACCTGGTTAAAGCCAGTGTCGCTTCCCCGGGGCCATCTTTAACCCGTGTGGGCCGCAGGGCCCGGCCCTGCCCGGCGGAGCGCGCCGAGGGGAGCTCCGCTGCGCCTTGAGCAGGCCCGAGGGAAGGGATGTGGCGCCGAACCCCCCCGCACGGCATTAACGGCACCCCGAAACCTGTGCTGGACCCCCCAAAGGCTGCCCACCCCTCATCTCCCCGCTCCTTGAGACGTTCCCCACACAACACGAGTGTCCCGGCTTCCCCCGGCCATTGCGTAAGGAGCTTACGGGCCTGAGCCGGCCCGGAGGGATGGCAGGCTGAGGCAGGCCGGACAGCAGCTGTGCCCTTCTTCGGGGCAAAAAAAGGCCATTCTGGGCATAAAAGCAGAATGTTGTTTCAACGGGGGCGTGTACAGGAATATGTCAAATTCCAGAGATTGGACTCTGCGGCTTAGGTGAATAAATCCCAGTGAAGTCGTATCTTAAGCACCTAAGCCCCTTTATGGATCCGGGCCTAAATCGGAGTCACAGAGCGTGAACTTGGCTTGGATTGCTAAAATCACAGCCCAAGTCTGAAGCAGCAGAATCAGCATTTTTTCCTTGCTGCTGAGCAAAAAACATTCTTAATTGATCCTTAATTATATTAACAAATGTGTACCTCTGGTAGAGCGATAGACTGTCTAAAAAAACCTCCTTCCTTACCTCACGCTCGCCTGTTTCTAAGGTTTGCTTTTTCAGACTCAAAATACCTGTTTAACAGGCCAAAGCCTTTTGTTCAGCAAAATAAATCACTTTACACGTTTTTTGTTTGGCTTTTTACATTTTTGGAGGCCATTCTTATCCCTGCCAATCATAGGTTTAGGCAATTTCCCAAGGCAAAGCTGCTTCTCTCACGATGCCTGAATCTGCCCAGCCATCCATCAGTGTGTGTGGTTCCCTGTGTACCTTTGTGGGAGGAAGAAAAAGGAAACAACAGCAACTGGACTATGGACTTGATCCCACAAAGAAGCACTCAAGTGCCACTTAGGTCACCGTGCACGCTGCCATGTTAAACTTTACACATTTTCCTTCCTTTCCAAGGCCTTCAAGATAAACCCCTCAATAATCCTAGACTCTTGCTCATAGTCACACGGTAACTCAGGATGTAAGGTTCTTTGGCCTAATAAATATCGCCTATTAGTCATAGGGAGAGAACAAATATCCTTTTTAAAATGTTAGCCTTACTGATAGCATTTGATAGCCAGCCATGAAACGCTCCTGACTCACCTGTCTGATTTTTCTCAAATTAGGGTAAATGGGATTTCAATAAAGTGGTCTCACCACATCCCTACCAAATCCAAGGATCCCTTACATACATTTTTCCCGAGTTTCTTTCCTGCTGTCAGCAGCAGTCATTGCCCTCAGAGCACGTTCCCCTCTTTCTACTGACCAGCCTCAAGCCCAAGGTCTGCCCTCTATACGAATTTGCACTCACTTCTCTTGCAGGTCCTCCCTGCTATCCTGTTGTTTTCTTAAATGGTGATCATGTCTCCATTTGGCTTCTGCTTTTCTAATTTTAATGATTCGAAACTGACAATTCCCCTGTCCTGCCTCTGACTGCAAAACCTGGGCAGTATCTTAGGTGTTATTCTCTTCACATTCAGGATTTCACTGCCCCTTGTACTCAACAATTCATTTCTTAAATCCTCATTCCTTACTCTAGTTCTCTTTTTTTACCTCGCTTTACCACTTCCTTTCCAAACTGCCAAACCACAGTCTAGCTCCTTAGCTTCTTCCTGCTCTGATCACGTAGCAATCAGTCTTGGAATTGTTCTTTTCCTTTTCATGTGAAATTTGCACGACCGCCTGGCTGTACCTCAGCCAGGTTTCTACAGCCCAGCCTCAAGTTTCAACACAGCTCTCCTCAATCTTGTTTCCTTTTCTCTGTCTTTTTTTATCATGGTCCTTGCACTACTTGAATTGTTTCCAAATCCTCCAGATCTTAAACTTGAAGTCCTTCAAGTTTATCCGAGCCAAATCCAAAGTCAGCAGGATGTTGCTGGCTTCACATCCCAAATCTACAAGCATTCTTCTCATACTTCATTGTATCTGTGCAAGAATGTATAGGTAATCAATAATGTAATCAATAATGTATTCATTCTAGTTCACAGTATGGGCGAACTGTGGCCATAACATGCCAGCACTGGTCTTGCTACCAGTTCTGCTTTCTGAAACATTTCACACCCATAACTAATGTCCTTGCTGCTCATATAATGTAAATTCCATTTACTTTCTTTGTAATACTTTGTTCTAAGATTTTGAGATATTCTCTCTCATTTCACTAACCGTAACGTTTATAAATTATCTGCCATTCATATTTTCTCTTCTTGGACCGCCTCCTTTCCTACTTCCTCTCTTCTTTCCCTGGAATCTGGGGTATCTGGCCTTCTTTCCCTGGGATCCGGCCTCAGAGACTGCTAGAGTTCAGACTACTTCTGCAGCAGCCCATACAAATTTTACAAGATATGAGAAAGATATCCAGGCCAAAGTCCTAATTCTAATCTTTGAAGAGCACAGGATGAGGTCTGTAGCAGTCCCAGGAGTTGCCTGTCTCTCTATAAGCTGTGCAACAGCTGACCACGACCAGGACAGTAAGGCCTTGTCTATGGTGAAAAGACCAATTGATTTCATTGTGGAGGAGGATTTGGGCCGGGGAGGTGCAGCAGTGGAGACAGCTGTTCTTGGACAGCTGATACTGTCACACCAATGTCCCTCAAGAGTCATTTTAAAACAGCTCTAACGTAGATGGAAGCGATAAGGTAGAGTCAAGGCAAAGCCTCAACCTAATGGAAGACAGATAGCATGAACATAGTGGTGCTTCAAAATAACTGGCTGAAACACATCCCCATTTCAAACAGGCCAAAGGCTGTCACAGCGAGGGATGGGACCCTTTGGGGCCGAGAAAGGGCATTTTAACAAAGGATATTCTGTAATTGATGGAGATCAATTTTGTGACCTATAGGGTACAATGGTGGATTTACCATTTTACAAATGCCAGCCTCTATTAACAACAGCTGCACAATGACCTACTTATAAAAAAGACAAGTGAAAATTCCATTTTGGAAGACAGCTGCATAGAAATTAATATTTCCAAATGAATGTGAGGAGCCTAAATACTACTGCCTCAGGCACTTATGGCAGAAAGGTTAAGTGGCACGTTTAATAGATAATCTCTATGATTAATTTATCAGAAAGAACCAAGTGGCTAATTTCCCCTAATTGAAATTTTCTGGCATGATAAAAATTTATCATCTACAGTTCCACTTCCATTTAAATCCATTGCACTAAGTTATTTTATTACATGAAAGCAAACACAACCACAGTCTTGAATCCCGCTTTCATTTTCCACTAATTAAACAAAATACTTGAGTGGCTGCAGAGAAAGCAGTAGAATGGATTCTTCTGAGAACTGGTAATAAGAAATAGGCCCAGACTTTCAAATCCAGCCCCGGGTGTCAAATACAAAGCAGCAGCCAGATCTGCAGGTGCTTCACAGCCACCAGCCTTTGGGTTTAGCAGTGGGAGAGACCCGATGGCAGGCTCACTCCAGTGGGTTGGGTGGAACAGGGCTCACACAGATCAGCAAAGGAACTCATACTTTGTCTGGGGATGGAGCAGCATGTAACAATCCAAGGTCAGGACTGGCTGTGACAATGTATTAATTCTGAAATATTTGTGCTAATCGTCTGTACCTACATTTTTAACTACTTCCAAGTGCCCTAAATTTTTAAGAAAGGGATGCTTGCAAAGAGACGCAATAGTTTTACCCAGACTGTGACAGATATAAACTCTTCAGACCTGGCATGCAGAGAGCAAACTGTGCTAAGGATAGACAGGAAGAAATTGCTGTGAATTTAACTTTGCTGGGTAAATCAGTTAAACAATTTGAGGGAAGAAAGGGTACCTGGAATCTGCAACAGCGAAGAAAACTTGCAAGGGGAGAAGGAATACAGGGCTTATACAGAACAGAGAACAGCAGTTACTCGTTTCCTTTGGGCCATTGAGTAGTATGTGCATGGAAAATGTCAATGTATGGTAAAACAAATGTCTCCATTATATCTGTGTTTTTTCTGTCCTGCCATTTTTATTCCTGGGCTTGTCTTTTCAGAATACTTTTCAAGTCCTTCTTGATGGACGGCAATCTTCAGCACAGCAATCACAGGTGGCAATTACTTTGTTTAAGGCTCCCACTGCTGATTCTTTCTATATTTTATTGTTTGCCTTTTGGAATTAATTTCTGTACGTAGTAATTGTTTGGTGGTAGTAATTGTATGGTTCATATATTCTTCATAAGGACTTTTGGTTTGTTAGATAAAACAAAAATTTGGAATGTGCATGTTTAGGAAAGATGGATATTGATGGATCTTGTGCAGAAGTATCAGATCTTGAATCCAGTGTACAGATGCTTGGCACCCTTGGACCTTGCTGCAGAGCATTTTTGGCAGTGCTGAAAAAAGGAATAGCTACGTCGTTCTCTGAGGGTTTCCTAATGAATCGCTGGAACTGGAACTCCACATTCCTGATTCCAGGTCTTGCGTCGTATCTTTCATACTAAAAGGTATTGCCATTGATTAGATTAATGAGACACAAACACTTCTTGGCTAGAAAGTAGAACTGTGGTTTTAATACGCTTTTGTCTGTTGCAGGTTTTAAAACTCAGGCAGAGCAATTTTGCAGATTCTACACCCTTCTCTTTCACCCTCGGAGAGGTGGGGAGGATTCTTAAATACTCCTGTCTGGTTTTCACAGACTGTGCCCTGCGTAGTGGCCTCAGACGTGGAAGAGAGTCTGAACAAGCTGAGCCAGAGCTGGGAGCCAGAGGCCCCCTTGTCCAGCCCAGCCAGTTCCCCGGCAATGCAGCAGTACTGGGCAAGAGCCCTGCCAGGGAAACGCAGCCTCTCGAAAGCAGAAAAGAGTCATAATCTTTTATGACAGCAAGTCAGTGTGGGATTCATCGCAGGAGGGTTTGGAGCAAGCAGTTACCGACAGATGGCAATACTGCACTGAGTATCCGCCTGCCCTCCCGGGGACTGACCCTCTCCTCACCAGGGAACTGCAAAATGGGCACCACCTTCTCTTAAACCCCTTCACAGTGATGTCACACCAACGTAATCGATCTAAAAAAATTAATTATGAACATCACAGGGGCAGTGCTTTTGAAGCACTGGGAGTGGTGGCCCATCTCCCATTGAAGGTAATGGGAAATTCAGTAGTTTCACTGGGGATTCTGTTAATAATCAACATTTTGGAAAGATGTCACCCTTAAAATACTAGAGATTTGACCAAAGGAGCAAATTATTTTCTTTATACATGTAAAACTCAAGTTTCAAAAGTTTTAAATTACTTTTTTTTTTTAATAAGGCATCTCTCTACTTTTAAGAAATAATTATGTGGGCAAACCCCCCTGTAACACAGGCATGCTAGGAACACAGGTTGTACTATGGTGGGAAAAAAATTTCCAATTATGTCAGAAGCATGGTCCATAATAGAGGTATTTTCTGTAAGTTTCTATTATTACAGATAGCTTTTCATCTATGAAAAACCAGAGTATAAATCAGCCTTAAGCCACCGTATTTTAATTACTTGGCATTCTAAAATGAACAATGGCAATAAGAGTTTAAAACACAGGAAGAAAATGGGCTAATTTTCTCAGACAAAAAAATTGTCAAAATAGAGCAGAGATGCGCTATGATAGACCTAACAGTGGCTTCCTAATTTGCACAGTATTTACCCTAGTTAGAGCAGTCAACTTTCTGAAAGAAAAAAAAAATATATATTTAAGTGATGCAAACCTTTCCCTTCTTGCAGAACAGCGTCTCCTTGAATATGCAGCTGCTTGAGATCCTCCAGAACACTGCCTGGCTGCTTCTCCATCATATTTGGGTTCCCAAGTGTCCAACGCAAAGCTTCAGGCTGCATTACCATCCTGCTTTGGGCTTGACTGAAGTTGCTCAGTCTCTCCCCAAATTGTTCCTGCTGCTTTGGGGCTCACCTGGTGGAAGAGCCGTGGAGATCAGTGCTGCATCAGCGGTTAACGTCTCTGTAAATACCTGATGGGAAGAGAACCCCAAGCTCATCCTTTCCAAAGAACCTGACATTTCCATGCTTCAGTTATCAGCCCACAAAATGACTGTAATGCTAACACTTTACATGAATGGTAACTAGTTAATTAACATTTCTTAAAGTCCTGAAACCTCAGATTAATAGTGCTCTGGAGTATAAAGGCATAATATTATTCCATTGAGCATTTGTCATTTAAAAAGCTCTATGCCTAAAGCTTTAATCAAACTGTGTAAGATGAGAGCAATTTCCTTTTTGTCACATTTGGGTCTCTTGTCCCCGTTAAGATGCATGTGTAGTTAAACCATGTATTTCTTTTGAGAGGAGCACAGGTACTGCTGATCATGGAAAGCAAACCCAACAGCAGAACCCTGCACTTCACAGAGGGGTATAGCTCTTTTAAGAACTATTTTTAGAAGATGTGTTTCCTGAATTTATACACTGTGACACTATAGTATCACTTCCATTAGCACAGAAAAAAAGTATCTCCCTTTCAGTTAACTATTGTTTTGCAAAAGCTGCCATGTCACAGTGTCTCTAAAATGTCTTGGGTCTAACAAAGACCACTATTTTTCATTACATGAAACAATTACTGACTACCAGATTTAAATCTGTTCTGGTAGCGTAGGAATACATTCATCTTGGGTACAATTCCTCTATACACCATGGATCTTAATGAGGCAGGAAATTAATTTATAATTTACCATTATGTTATATGAAATACTACAGAAAGCAAGGGTATTCTTCTGAATAACGAGCAAAGAACTATGAATTTTCAGTCCTGTCCACTGCTACAGAAATCAGAGCTCTTAATGGTGGTCAAGAACACTCACTTGAACAGTGCAGAGTCACTTCAGATATTTACGTGTGACTTGAGGCTAAAATGTCATGGTCGGTTGGCAATTGTGCCATAAGCATTAGTACAGGCACACTGAAAATGCTGAGACACCAGTGATTTCAATGGCAATGCAATTAAGCCCCGTGCAATAGTCAAGCTGCAGGTGACACTATGGAGCATGAGGCTGCTCACCTGGGCTCCGGCGTAGTGCTCAAGCAGAAATCTTTCTCTTTTCCAGAAGACCTGTGGAAAAAAAGATAATACACAGAAGAAGGGTGTTATTGAAGCCTTCGTGCACAGCATCCAGAACACTCCAGCACGAGTGGCAGCACAGGCTGAGGGCACAGGGGGACTGCCCTCTTCAAAAGCAGCCCAGGTTTCTGCGCGGTCCGAAAGACTCTCTCGTGATGGCCCGCGATTATCCGGGTTCCAGTGGCCACACAGAAGCAGCTCTGAGCACACCTAGTCTTTCCCCCTGCTCTGGGAAGCCAACAGTATGCAGAAAGCTTTTTCTGCTTTTTGTGTGTGTAATCAATACTGACAGGTAAATTCCTTCTGAAGTATTTTTAGACATTACATATAAACTTCACCCGGTGTGTAGACACAGAATGGAAAATTAGTAACTGCGGATCCTGGGCCTTCGATGAGATCTGTGAGTAAATGGATCTCACTGCAAGATCAGCACCACGCTTTCAAAAATCATTAAGTGAAAACATGACCAAAGCAAACAGGCTTTAAATGTCTTTTGATACTGCTACTATAGTTATGGCTGGAAATCCCCAAATTACACGTATGCCATTGTACAGCTGGAGAAATGAGCGTTACAAAGATTTCTGTTTGTATATTTTCAGAAAAATGATTGCACACTCTTAAAAACATAGGCTTTTAAACCACTACGGATTGAACTTCGTTCTAATTATGTGCTGTGCTGGTTTGCCAATTCTACAGGAACAAAACCCATGACAGAGCGTCTCAAGTATCACGAGCTTGATTTTCTCAGGAAACCACCATTCCTAGAATTGTGAGGCAAAGCAAACCATGAAGCTGCATGAAACTTGCAATCAGGAGGCCAAAATTAGCAACTCTGAAGATTGTCAGTATGTTATTTAATCCATATGAGGAGAAAACACGACTCCCATCAGGGACAAATGTGTCTAACCCCCAAATCCTGCTTTTCTGAAACCATCACTGGGGTCAACCCATGTACACAGACAAGAGGCTGTTGGTTGGCACAGGGGTCAAGTTCACGTGTTTGTGGGCAATTATTGCAGAAAACAGCAAATCCAGAAAATACCTCAACAGCTCTACAGATTATTTGTTCTCTGGATTGGGGGACAGATGTGCACGTCATACATTTTAACTTAAGAGCACAATAACAGAAGTTTTTCATTGCTTTTGTGATGATTATCTGATACAGCCTCTATGGCAGGACAGAATTGTCTCCAAATTTGTACAGAAGAGCCAATTTTTACATCTGCATCGTGCCTCCAACTCAGAATGCTACTTATAAGCCCCGATGCTACTGCAGTTTATTTACCATCTTCTTCTATTTGTAGCCTCTGGTATGGTGAAAAACAAAGAGAAATATGACAAATCAACTCTGTATATTTTTATCATATCAATCTTTGCAAAAACAGGCAATTAATTTATTTCTCACAACATCTGTGGTAACAAGGTAAGACATACGTGTCTGTGCCATGCATTTCTTGGCATGTTTTAAGATTGTCCGTGAGCTAGATAAAACTGATGACAGCGAGCATTAGTGAAATATCAAAAATGATGGGCTTTTCATTCTATATTACCTTCATTTCATATTGAGGCAGCATGTATTTAGGTTACTTAGAGGAAGCTAAGCATAAGCTACTTTATTGTGAGAATTTCACAATAGGTTCCCTTACTAATTAGTTCCCTTACTCATTAGGCATTTTTATTTCCTATATGACTATGCATTTCAATCTCTTTTCTTCTCCTTTTTCTTTTATGCTAAACTGAACATCTGTCAGCTACACCAGATAACATTTCATGTCTGAAATATTCTCCCATTAAAAAGAAGGAAAAAGTATACTCTGTATCCTTTTATTTATCGCCTTCTCATCTTCCCACTCTTGGAATTACAAACATCCTTGAGATGCACATACAGTGTGTTGACACTCAATACCACTATCAAAGCTTAACTTTGAAAGATCTGTATCACATCAGTTCCTCACTCTAACTCTCGGAATTCCAAAAGAAAGCTAGCATATGCAAAATCCAACAACAGAAAACAACTGAGGTATGGAATTTGCACAGCCTACAGATTGTTTTACTATTCCTTTCTCTTTTAGTAACTGTTGGCTTGATGCTGTGTGCCAAAAAGGATCTGAAGTGTATATATTTGGGTTATAGTATCTTGATTCATCAGTGTGAAATTAAAAAAGGAAATGCACCTGTAGGTACTGTTTATCTGCTGCTTTGAATTACTTAGCAGTGCACACACAAAGCTGAAATTCTTTCTTCCCTCACACCCCTGTGTCAGACACAGGGCTGGTGTCTCCTGGTCCCTCCAGCTGACACACAGGACAGCTCATATGGGAGTTTCCTCCTGTGTGTCTGCAGCTCTTGGGGGGACTGAGTTCTGGTCCTGCCCCTCACAGCAGCAAGAACTGGGATCTGATAGTCTGATACAGACCTGGGAGCTTTTTATACCTCCTTTTACAGTACTGCAATTGATTAGATGTCATGCAAAAGAGCTGGGAACCACAACTATCAATTTCAACAAAGCTACACACAATTTATATTGATGACAGATGTACTGGGACCTTTGGAACCAGATGCACGTGCCTCTTAAAGCAAGGAGGATGTAAGAAATGGAGCCAGGGGATGCAGAGAGCACCTTTGACTACCCCACACAGACATAAAGGGCATCTCTCTGCCTTAGATGGCATATTTGGAAGATGGTGAAAGACCTGAAATTATTGTGAGATGCCAGAGAAATAACTTCTGGTAACCCTTAAACTTCAAGCAAATGAATACCCAACCAAGGAATTTCCAGGCTATGAAAAAGGCAACAGTAGAGTGAACCATAAACACCGTGAGACCTGCTCCTGCATCCCTGGATGCTCCTGCATCCCTGGTGTGTGTCCAGGGTATTCACATCTACTAACAGCCAGTTGTGTGCCATTTTGGCCCAGGAAGTTTAAAAAGCAAGCAAACAAACAAAAAATCACCAGGCACTGAATAATCAACTTCAGCTTGGTGATGAGCAGAGTGAGCTCCTCAAAGCTGGTGTCAGATTTATTAAGGAGAACCAGGCCCAGATGGTGGACCATGATGCGAGTGAACCAAATACACTCTTGGCCGCAGTTCCAGAGAAAGTATGAAAGCACCAGGAGCCGACTAAACAAAGCAAGAACCTGAAACCAGCTGCTGAGGTCGGCTCCGCTGGCCTTCCTCTCGGAGCCAGAGGAAAATGGTATTCAGCCAGCCAGGCACTGCTGGCTGCACTGGCCCCTTGGAAAACAGACGGGATTGGGGTGCCAAGTTTTAGTAGATAAGTCCCACTATCCTCTGTCAACATCCTGCATATCTTCTCAAGCACAGGACAGACAGGTGGCCAACACTCCATCCTGGCCAAAGACTAGCTCATGGGCATCTCACATTTCATGATGTCACCAGGAGACCCAGGGTGGTTTGGACAGGACACTCAAAAGAGGCTCTGTATTGAGAGCAAGAGCCGTTTATGAAGGAAGCTTTGTCAGTCTTCTATTTTGTTGTTTCTGAGAAACACTTTCCTGTAAGTGGATTACTTAAATCCCAATCTCAGTTGGGCCTTTGAGTGTTTCTGCAATTAATGAAGAAACTCTAAAAAAAAGACTAGTTCATTCATGTGTCATCAGCTCACAGCTTTATCTGTGACACTTTTCTGTATGTTATCAAGTAATTTAGCAAAGTTTCAGCCATGAGTTACTGGTGTACGTCTTTCTCTGCTATCCTTCTGCTCAGCCCACTTTCATAATTCCATGTTCTCCATTACAAAATTACTCCTTATTTGGCAGTTTTCCACAACACAAAATAGTCTGTATAGGCGAAAGGTAATAACAGTATCACTAAGGCAGTTGAAATTAGGTTGCCTTTGTTACAGTGCCCTAAGAGAAACTTGGGCAATGCAGTAGCATCGATGCCCTGCTCGCTCCCCTGCAACGATCCTGTGTTGCAGGAGCTACCACATGGAAATTCTTTAAAACCACCATTTAGGCTTCTTTCTAGATCACTTTAAAGATCTATAAACATATATAATTTCTTGTGTACATATCTAAACATAAGTTAAAATAAATAATCTAAAACTCACCATTCGTATGGTAACATGTTTACCACGACAACTATTAAAATAAGAATGATATGTTCAATATAAGACACTTAAAAAGCCAAATTCTGTTATCTGAAACATACATAACACCTTCTTGCAATCAGTTGTACAAGGTCAAACAAACAAAACGTAATTTGGCAGGTAGCCTCTAACTTCAAACATTTAGTAGAAGCCAGTGGGACCTAAACCACGACAGACACCTGTTTATAAATAGTCTAGAATTAATTCTAACTTCTGTTTCAGTTCTTCTTAAATAGTGTTTAGACTCTATTTTACTAGAAGCCCTAAATACCCTATTAATAAGTGGGATCAATAACATAGAATTACAGTTTTCTCTTAGTCACAACCTTACTTAAATGCCATATTCATTTCTAAGGAATAAATAAACACCAAACAACCAAACCCAGCCTAGTTCTCATTCACAAATTTACAGCATATCTGGTTTATAACAATCTTCTAGGATCTAGTATTACAAAATGTCAACAGTTCTTTGTGTCTCACAAATATTCTCTCAGCACCTCCATATTTGCTGCATACTTTGACCAGTTCTAAGCCAACTGCTAATGGCTAACTAATGATGAATTCATAACCATTTGCTACTCGACAGAATAAATTTCTTAAATATAAAAACTTCTCCAGGATTTAGATGGCCCTGCAAACTATTTTACCCCAGCTGGCTGAGAAGTGCATTTTTGTGGTTTTGCAAGCTGATTCCTTTTCGTGAAAGTTTTCAAGAAAACAAGCAAAATGAGATCCCAGACATCTGAATCACCAGACACTAAAAAAAAAATTGTACATATGTTTAAGCAGTTGACTTCCTGAAGCAAAAACATGAAATGCCAATGGCCATTTAGTGCAGGCAGTGGGGAGTACTCCACTTCTGTGCCCCTCTGGCTGGTCCCAACAGGCAAAGAATTTATTTCAGAGTCGAGTTCTCCATTTCAGCACAACTGGAAGACAGTTTTTTAAGCAGAACGGCAATTTAAAAACAAATACATCTTCTGCTTCATCTCTGAACGGGGGACACTGACCTTAAGAATATCTGAAATTCTTCCACTGCCTGTAAACCAAAATGGACTGCAGGCCGTCACGATCATATGTCGCTCTTACAAAACATTCTTACTCGTTGGCTACTTTTTGGAAAGGTTATTTGCTGTCAATCAAGTGACGAGTTCTGCTTATAATAATGGTGATGACATCAGACCTGTAGAAGAGAAGATTAGTATGGGGAGTCTAAATATATAAACTAGAAGGTCATGGGACACATCCAACATCAGTTGAAGTTAATGGCCTCCATTCACTTCGATCAAAACTGGACTGATCCATGTAGGATGAAGAGATTTATATATGTATTTATTTCCCCTGTAGCCAGTATCATTGCCTTGCAGCCTGGGATTTTTTAAGGTGACCTGGATCTTTGATTTGTCTGACAAGAAAAGGTGATTGTCCCTGTTTTTATTTTTAGGTGGCCATATATAGTCAGTCATGTTCACTCTTTCCAAAGTGGGACTTGCCCTGTGGAGGTAACGGGCAGGAATTTTTCCAACCAGCAGGCTGGGGGCTCCAGCCACGCATTTCTTTCGCCGTTTGGTAGAGTTTACAAAGGACTGGGCAAGAGGCCAATTCCCATTTTAAGCCTCAGGTTGGACACAATGGTCGGTCAATGGACTGAGGGGTATAAAGCAGAGGTCAGCAGCTTTCCTGTCAGGCAGCAAATAACTAAATTTCACTTGTCTGAAATAGGATTTGAGTTGTCCGGGGCTGCAGGACAAAAGGACTGTTCTCACCCTGACAGCTGGAATGGGTGATTTGTGAAATGTATTTTTAGAAGTCTCATTTGCCTACGCGTATGCCTGCATTGTCAAACATTCAGACAGCAAGAGCGAGTCAGGCTATGAGCCACGAGGCCTGTGACATACTGTACAGACTGTATAACACACCAGATCTAAACCTGCCTTTTCATCATTCCTCACCCCCCAACTGCAAATATACCTCCCAAATACTAACGCACCACGACTGCTGCTCTTCCTGTGCTTAAACATACCATCACTACAGCATTCAGTCCTTGGTAACCACAAAGGGAAAATCACTGCGGATACAACAGGACATTAGTGATCAAGTCTGTTTTTCAAAACCACCCCAGTTTTCCCAACATTTCCTTTTCCTCAACATCCCTCTGTCTGATTAACAGGAACAACAACCTCCTGTAAATTAGCTTCTTCCTTTAACAAGACAACCCGCTCTTGAGGGATTTTATTAGTAACATTCATCCTCCTAATCTTATCCCACACCTTGCTGATACGCACATCCTCATTAACATTTGCACATGGCTATTGTGCCAGGGCTGCTTTTTTTTCCCCTGAGCTAATGATTTCTTCCTCCCCCAGTCCCAGACATCAAGTTGCACTCGTAATACATTTCAAAGCTGGTTTCCTCTCTCTCTAAACAACATTGTTACAGTTTTTGTTTAAACAGTGCACCGGTTTCCTTCCCTTCCCATTCAATGTAGGTCTCGCAAGGCACTTTTCACATATACGTAATGGCAATTGGAAAACCAGAAATATAACCCAATACATCTAATCTATGCTGATTTACATATGACTTTACTAAATAGTTAAACATGCTACTATCTTTCAAAATACTTAGAATTCACAAAATAAACAAAATAGAATATTCCATATAAATATAGCATTGTAAGCATTTGGGAAAATAATTTTAATGTTCAATGTCACAACGAATATCTACTCCACATATCTTCTAGTCCTTAAGAGTTTCCTCTTTATTCTGCTTTGGTTATTATGCACTTCTGCTGAATTGAATGTTTTCATACTCTGTGCGTATTAAGAAGTGTGAACTTCGTATTTATTTCTCAGTCTGTCTTGAATTCCTGCCATCTGGTTAAGGCATATTGGCTTTAGGGCTAGGATTATTACCAGTCTATGCTCTTAATCTATAAACTTAAACTGTAATAAATTTCAAATGAAATGCTGATCTTTAGAGACAGTTATGTCTTAAAAGTTGTTATACAGCACTGTAAAAAAATGATAACACGTAAATAAATCCAGCAAATCAAAATAAAAAATACACTTATTGTGTGTGACTCCACTGTTAGTGTTGACAGAACCGAATTCTGCACAGATCCACTGAATACAATTAAATCACCAGGATAAGAAAATAGGGAGCAGATTTGGCCACCTCCTGACAGTGTGAGAGAACACGTTGGTGCCTGGTACTGAGCTGTAAGTCTAGGTCTGTGAAACAAATGTCTGCCTGTCGATACAGTACGCTTTAGTCAGCGTGGCTTAGGCAGTGTGGGGGTCTGGTGGCAAAACTGCACGGTGGTAAAATAAATTGCGCTGTCAGAAAAAGTTCTGGTGGATGGTGCAGCAGAATCTGCCAGCTCTTCATCAGGGCAGGAGGTTGTTGTGAACCTGTGTGCACTGTTTGGGTGGGAAACAGCAATAGCTCAGCAGGGGTTCTTTTTGGATCCTTGGTATCTGGCCTGGGAGGAAGGAAAATCCATCCCAGTGTTTTCTTTCCCCTTTCCCTTCCTCTTCAGCTCCTTCCAACTTCCTTTATGCTCAGTTTTCCACTTCCTTCCAAACAAAAACTTCTTGAAACCCCATCACAGTCTTTTTTATTTTTTAGAAATCAATGTTTCATCCCTGGAGGGGTTTATAAGGGAGGAGAGAGGGGGGGGGGGGGGTGGTGGGGGGGGTGGAAAGAAAGAAAAAAGGTATCTTCTCCAACCCTTTATTGCACTCTTCCAGTAGAAAGGATACTCCGACACCCCTCTCTCTTGAAGGAGCCAACAACATGACAGCCTTCTGTTCCCTTGCGTGCTTTCCAAGTATTTCCCAGGTACTTCTTAATTTGAAGACTAAATTTACTAGGAGGAGACACGCTTACTAGACATGCAAGAACCAGGGAAGTTGGGAGGGAAGGCGCTGATGAGGAGCCCAGTCTGCCAGCAACCATCTGTTACCGAGAAGGAAACAAAGCCACAGATTGCTCCTAGGCAGCTCCCCACAGATACTACTTGAGGACTATTTCTAGCTTGTGGCCAGAAGGTGTCCAATAAATTGACAATTTCACTTCTTCCCACAGAGTTTTCTGATTAGCAGCACTGAAACTAGTGGAAATTACTGTTATTTTCACTTTATTAGTATCATATCCAAGTGTGTGGGTTTGGGTTAGTTTTTTTGGGGGGGGGGGGGCGGAGAATTAGAGCCAGATGATCAGATGCTTAGCCTTGTAGACAAATTCTTTTGCTTACATATATTCCAACAATTTTTAACTACTCTCCTCCTATTACACATTACCTTATTTTCTAAGTTCTACCAAACCTTCCTGTATGTTATTAAACACTTGTTCCATTTGAAAAGTAACATTCTAAATATGTCCTGGAAATAAAAAATAATCACTTTCTACTAAGAAAGACAGGATTAACAGGAGACTATTTCTATGGAAATAGGATTGGAAAATACACGGTATGCACAGCAAACTTTTCTGTATAAAGCCAGCGTTAAGCCTGAGAAATAATAACAAACCAGTTCAAACTCACACAGCAAAACCATCATAGACCAGGCCTGTTCCTGAACAATTCCTAAAGCTGGTAACATCACGGCAATTATGTCCAAGGGATCGATTTAAGGTAATTTTTGGTGTATTTTACCTAATTCCCAAGTAAATCCATTGACCAGCAGTGTTGAATTCTGCAGCTGGTGATTTTGGCCAGGAGAGGAACTTTGCAGGTGCCACTGGCCATCTCCATCAGTGAGGAAGGACACTGCATCTGACCACAAAGCAACAGAATGGGGAAAATCATTATTTTATATCCATATTTGTATAAAATATTCATTGATTAATTGTTGTCCCCTTCTCTTCTGCCTGGCTGTCCCTCACACTCCTTCCCCTGCACCCCGGGGCCCATCCCTGTCACCCCTCACTGAGGCAGCTCTGCCACCCCCCTCCTCATGTCCCCTCAGGCCCTGGCGCCCCCCTGTCCCAGGTCACCCCCGGTGCCCCCTCACCTCACCTCCGGGTGTCCCCCCATCCCAGGGGTCCCCCGGTGCCCCCTCACGTCACCTCCGGGTGCCCCCCCGCTTCACGGGATCCCCGGTGCCCCCTCACCTCACATCCGGGTGTCCCCCCATCCCAGGGGTCCCCCGGTGCCCCCTCACGTCACCTCCGGGTGCCCCCCCGCTTCACGGGATCCCCGGTGCCCCCTCACCTCACATCCGGGTGTCCCCCCATCCCAGGGGTCCCCCGGTGCCCCCTCACGTCACCTCCGGGTGCCCCCCCGCTTCACGGGATCCCCGGTGCCCCCTCACCTCACATCCGGGTGTCCCCCCATCCCAGGGG